GGGCAGCAGGAGGCAGTGACAGGGCGTATCTGCAGACTAGGAGGGGAGGCCACCAGGTTACGGGGGCTATTGGTCCAGAGGGAGCAGGAGTTAATTGGTCAGAGGGAGGAGCTACAGGAGGCGTTAAGGGAGAAGGAGAGTGTAGAGGCACGGTGAGAGGAGCTGGTTAGGCAGCAGAGGGAGCGAAGGGAGCGGAGGTTTATAAGGAAACCCAGTCCCGCTCCTTGCACCAAGCAAGTGGTGTGTGTCACCAGTCCGGTCCGGCCCGTTCCTGATCCCCGCACCAAGCCAGTGGTGCGTGTTCCCAGTACGGCTCGACCCATTCCTGCTTCCCGCACAAGGCCAGTGGTGTGTGTTCCCAGTACGGCCCGACCCGTTCCTGCTCCTCGCACTAAGCCAGTGGTGCGTTTTCCCAGTCCGGCCCGGCCCGTTCCTGCTCCCTGCACCAAGCCAGTGGTGCGTATCCACAGTCCGGCCCGGCCCGTTCCGGCTCCCCGCAACAAGCCAATGGTGCGTGTTCCCAGTCCAGCCCGGCCTGTTCCTGCTCCCCGCACCAAGCCAATGGTGCGTGTTCCCAGTCCAACCTGCCTGTTCCTGCTCCCCGCACCAAGCCAATGGTGCGTGTTCCCAGTCCAGCCCGGCCTGTTCCTGCTCCCCGCACCAAGCCAGTGGTGCGCGTCGCCAGCCCGGTCCGGCCTGTTCCTGCTCCCCACACCAAGCTAGTGGTGCGCGTCGCCAGCCCGGTCCGGCCTGTTCCTGTCCCTCGCACCAAGCCAGGGGTGCGCGTCGTTGGCCCGGTCCGGCCTGTTCCTGCTCCCCGCACCAAGCCAGTGGTGCGCGTCGCCAGCCCGGTCCGGCCTGTTCCTGTCCCTCGCACCAAGCCAGTGGTGCACGTCGACAGCCCGGTCCGGCCTGTTCCTGCTCCCCACACCAAGCTAGTGGTGCGCGTCGCCAGCCCGGTCCGGCCTGTTCCTGCTCCCCGCACCAAGCCAGTGGTGCGCGTCGTCAGCCCGGTCCGGCCTGTTCCTGCTCCCCACACCAAGCTAGTGGTGCGCGTCGCCAGCCCGGTCCGGCCTGTTCCTGCTCCCCGCACCAAGCCAGTGGTGCGCGTCGTCAGCCCGGTCCGGCCTGTTCCTGCTCCCCACACCAAGCTAGTGGTGCGCGTCGCCAGCCCGGTCCGGCCTGTTCCTGTCCCTCGCACCAAGCCAGGGGTGCGCGTCGTTGGCCCGGTCCGGCCTGTTCCTGCTCCCCGCACCAAGCCAGTGGTGCGCGTCGCCAGCCCGGTCCGGCCAGTTCCTGTCCCTCGCACCAAGCCAGTGGTGCACGTCGACAGCCCGGTCCGGCCTGTTCCTGCTCCCCGCACCAAGCTAGTGGTGCGCGTCGTCAGCCCGGTCCGGCCTGTTCCTGCTCCCCGCACCAAGCCAGGGGTGCGCGTCGTCGGCCCGGTCCGGCCTGTTCCTGTTGAGTACAAATAAAATGTACGCTTACCACGCTGCGCCTTGGTCCGTCACTTCCTTGAACGATCGTGACACCATTGAATAAGTGTGTCTTCCTAGTTACCCCCCAACTACGCCTCAAATCTTTTATTCAGCATTTAACCAACCAAATACTAAGTAGTATCCGGTTATCATTCATACCAGCCATTGAATTCCCTCATATACACAGATCTCACCTTATGCCATTCAAATGCCCAACACAACATAATAGTTCAATGGAACCCTCTATTGGCTCTCTACTATTTATACATTACTTCTATAACCACTTTAGTTATGGTCCGATTACCCATTAAATCTTATCACATAACCTTATCACCTAATCAAACAACGGCACAACCTTAAACTCATTTCGGCCGGCTGGTAGCCCAGTAACCAAGAGCACCGTGTCAGTAATCGAGGTTGCCGGCTCCAACTCCCGATATCGTTGGAATTTTATAGGTACCTCTCAAATAATCGCTTCGTACCTGCGCACTTTGCTCCGCCCACCTTTAGGAGGCTTTCTTAAACAGTTTCCACCTTCTCCTTCACCCTGGAATGTTTAATCTCGCCCCCCTCTGTTAGTGGGTTGATACTACATTATAATTATAACACAGTTTACACATTTATACTGTATTTGGGGTGAAATCCTTTAGTCATTATTCTTAAAATACAGGTCTACAATGTTATCCCTGATGTCCTTACACAGCTCTCTGGTCTTGGCCATTGTGGAGAGGTTGGAGTCTGTTTGATTGAGTGTGTGGACAGGTGTCTTTTATACAGGTAACGAGTTCAAACAGGTGCAGTTAATACAGGTAATGAGTGGAGAACAGGAGGGCTTCTTAAAGAAAAACTAACAGGTCTGTGAGAGCCGGAATTCTTACTGGTTGGTAGGTGATCAAATACTTATGTCATGCAAAAAAATACAAATTAATTCCTTAAAAATCATACAATGTGATTTTCTGGATTTTTGTTTTAGATTCCGTCTCTCACAGTTGAAGTGTACCTATGATAAAAATTACAGACCTCTACATGCTTTGTAAGTAGGAAAACCTGCAAAATCGGCAGTGTATCAAATACTTGTTCTCCCCACTGTAACTACCATGTACACTGAACAAAACTATAAACGCAACATGTAAAGTGTTGGTCCCATGTTTAATGAGCAGAAAAAATATACCAGACATTTTCCATACGCACAAAAAGCTTATTTCTCTAAAATGTTGTGCACAAATTTGTTTACATCCCTGTTAGTGAGCATTTCTCCTTTGCCAAGATAATCCATCTACCTGACAGGTGTGGCATATCAAGAAGCTGATTAAACGGCATGATCATTACACAGGTGCACCTTGTGCCGGGGACAATAAAAGGCCACTCTAAAATGTGCAGTTTTGTCATACAACACAATGCCACAGATGTCTCAAGTTTTGTGAGAGAGGCAAACTTAAAGTTAAAAAGGAGAGTGCAGTCCAATCCCAAATCAACCCCTAGCTCCTACCCACTGGACACGTGTTGATGTTCAGTCCATTGATTCATTTATTAAAGGGGGTTCATTCATTCACAACTGTAAACGCAAAATTTTTCACATTTTAATGGATAGGATGAAGATGTATTCATATCAGTACTTGTGTAAAGCTGGGCACCGGCAGCAGCTCCTCCAGTCTGGAGAAGAACTCCCACAGCAGAATCTGCAGTGCTGTGTCATACTTAGTGCTGTACTGCACTGGGAACACCTCCTTTAATGAAAATGTAGAGAGCCATTACACAGTGAGGTGAATGGTCTTGCCTATAACACTAGTTATCATCAATATGCATTAGTTTCATACAATACTTGTTTTATTCATTTGCACTAATATTCTTGATTTTTGTCACAGTACCCAACTTGACATCATCACAGCATTACATTCAATTTCAGGTGCATGCCAGCCTGCTTGCTCTTCAGGCATATCCAACACTTTTGCTTGATTAGTACACAGAACTACCCAAATGTGGTATAGAGAACATAAAGTGTGACTTTGTGAGACTCAAAGGGTATTAGTAATTGACAGGTGTGATACAGGTGTTGTATATCCGAAATGATTGGATAGTAAATGGAAAAAAAGTGTTACAATTAACAGACCTCATCCAGAATTCAGCATAATTTACAACAGTGGTTCCCAGTACTAGAGGTCCTGGGGGTACTTGGCCTATCCACAGGGGGTACTTGAGAATACTCATGAGACCATAGGCCTACTGGTAAAATGCACGAGGGGGTACTTCAGGGGTACTCCGGGCACAGCAAAATTCAGTTGGTGGTACAGTACCCGAAAAAGGTTGGGAACCACTGATCTACAACAGGGATGGGGGTGGGGGCGACAAACAATTAATTAATTAATTAATTTGGCACTCATGAGGGGCCTCAGTGGCTCGCTGGTCTGCCTACCCACACATGCAGTCAGTGCCGGCCCTAGCCTTTTGGGGGCCTTAAGTGAAGTTGAGTTAATTTCCTGCAATTCTACACATTTTGCCATGGGCCGGAGAGAAGATTTTGCAATTTTATAACTAATTTCATGCAATTCTACTCATTTTGTAAATCTGACTCTCAAATTAGTATGATATGTTATGTTTGGTATGATTACGTAAGACAGGTTACTTAAGACGATAACAAAAGGAGGGTGGTTGGTCAGGGTGGATGGGTGAGCGTATAACTTTAGCATGTTAGCAACTTTTCAACTACTTTGCATGTTAGCTAACCCTTCCCCTAACCCCTAGCCTAGCTAGCGTGAGCCACCTAGCTAGCGTCAGCCACCTAGCTAACGTTAGCCACAACATATTGGAATTTGTAACATATCATATGTTTTGCAAATTTGTATCATACGAATTGTAATTCATAACATATACGAAATGGATGATGGACATCCACAAATCAATACATACTATACTAAACATAACATATCATATTAAATGTGTCTCGAATTTACATACAGAATAATACAAAATGCTCTGAGACCAGGTTGGGAAGAGAGAAACATTTACAGTTTTACAGCCAATTTCCTGATTTAAAAACAACAACATTTTGCCATAGTGTGGAGACATGTTTGCAGTTTTTTATATGATATCTGATGATCAATGGGGCCCCGGTCGATAATTCGACCATGGTTTAGATAGCTGGCCTCTAGACTAAATGACCAATCTAAAAATGTTTTGCTGACATGAACTAAGTGAGTGATTGTCAGTAACTGACATAAGAGAAAAACAGCTGATGCACAACCAAATTTCGAAATTGCACCTTGTGTATTCTACTAGTCCAACTCTTAACAGTAAATTCAGACCCTGACAGTTCCTAAAAAAAATTTAATGTGGGTGGGGGAGCCTTATCTGCGGGCCTACAAAGCCGGGGCGCCAGTTGCCCCATCCCGGATCTACAAGCGTTGCTATTGGCCTTGTAGCCTAGGAACGATAACATTTTGGCATTCTTCCCAGGATGTCTTCACTTCCTTATTTGTAAAATGATATTACAGGTGACGACTATACAGACCACACCCCAGTGACAATGAACTCAAGTGTCCCACTTGCACCGGAACGGACTCACCCGAATATTTCACCGTTCGGGAACACCGAGTTACTGTGTATGAACAGGTCGGAAAAGGACGATAGTGCCACTTTTGATGAATCTGCGGCCTATTTTACGGAATTACACGTTTGGAGATCTACGGAATCATGGAAGAGCCGCAATTTATGAAGTCAGTTTTACCTGCGCTAGACTCATTCACACTTGACGCAGTTGACACAAGTTTGGCATTACCACCAGAGGGTAATACAAAGACTCATTCAAACGACCGGAGTTTTCGTGTTCAGCAACAAGTGCGGCTCACACTTGCTCGTAAGGGCAAAAAGACAACGGCCAGTGGTAAAATAGTAACGTTAGTTTAACGTGTGTTTACATTGAGTCTGTATGAACAAGCAAGGTCTGTAAGATTAGGCTATTGATATCGCCTCGGGAATTTGAGGATGGGGGAAAATGTTTAGGCATAGTCTACCAGGGAAACAAGGCGGGTCGAAACCAGATGCAACCAAATGGACATACAGGCCTAGTCATTGGTGTCAGATTCTTAGTGACATTTTATTTACCATGACGTTTGCAATCATGTCAGCAAACTATTCTATTCAATCTCCTCAAGCCTACTGTATTTGTAGTCCTCCCCATTTACCCTTTCCAATAGGAGAGGGCAAGTGTCCAAAGGGTAATTAGGGAATTGGTAAAATGGCATGATCCTTCAGAACACATGTGGTTTATCTTTCAGGCAGTCTTCATCTATCCAGAAACCCACCAAGTATCACCGGTTCCAGAGATGGAATCTTGTCTAACATGAAGGTAAGGCCTATCCTATAGTATACACACACAACTCACACACACAACCCATTATCCACAGTCACAGGCGCATTAGCCTCCCAGAAATTAATCTGGAGAGCCTGGATGTTAGAATTAACAGCTACGTGATTCAACTCCGGAGCAAGGGACTTCACCCTCCATGGCAGTCAAGTGCAATGTGTCTGTAGGATACATGAAGTGTTGTTTTTTAAAACTTGAATTCCATATTTAGTGCTTCACTGACATGATGAACTTCACAAGAAACAGCAGGAAAAGGAGATGGTATCTATTGCCCTAAAAAAAACTGTGGTCTGCATTGGTTTTGAATGTACCGCCCATATGGTTTGCATAAAAACAAATGGGATAGTCTCAGGGATGTGCAGCTATTATAAGACCCCAGCCCATAGTGCAGAGGTGGGTATCTAACACTATCTCTATAATGTGACAACTGAAGCCTTTCCTTCTGGCACACTTGACATATTTATCGCCCCTTTGTCTGTTCTACCAAACGTTGAAATTCTATTATCTCACATAGACAATTGAATTGAACTGCATTTTATTGAATAATACCTTTATGATTCCCAAAGGAAACCTAAGGTGTGGCTTTCAGTATATAAAACGCACAACAGTGGTTATTCAGACATCAGAGAGAGCATTTTGTATGATCTTTTTCCCTAAACCTTTTGTGTTGCTTTGAGTCATCACGACTGTGTCCAATTATATGCAACTGATTTACACAGATGTTTTAGCATTATTACCAGAAATCTCTTTATGGTTGATTCAGTTGTAAGCCTTCTGAAATGGGGCAACCGCTGCTTTTAACCTTTCCATGTAGACACACTCATCTTTGGGCCAGATTGGCGGCGTGGACTTCAGCAGCCTGTCGTCTTTGAAGGAGAATATAAGAAGACCGTCTAAGAGGGTGGATTTGACCCCAGTCTCCAGACCTGAGTTACCTCGCTCCCGTCTGGCCTACGGGACACTCAGTTTCGGAACCTACACCCTCCCCGGCCCTAGCCAGCCGCCCATGATGGGGACTTCAGTGGAGCGGTCGTACGGGACAGACTTGATGCGGCGTTATGCCCATTCGGAAATGGCCCGTAGCACAAGGACACACGCCATGGCTAACAGCGGCAACGACCACTGGGGCCAGTCCCTCAGACAGACTCGAGGTCCTCAGCCCCTCTCGGCAGACCACTCATTCCTGTGCAGCAGCCCTGCGATTCGCACCGACAACAGCCCCTACCAGATGGAGGTTCAAAGGGGGGCAGGGAGACAAACAGGCTACGGGTCATTCAATCCTACCCAGAGAGCAGAGGGCCTGGTCTGGCGGGCCCAGGTGGGGAGGGAGAGCCAGGGGCCTGTGGGAGCCAAATGGCCTCCCTCGTACCCTGCCTCGCTGGTCAGCATGGAGGTGGACATGGGCCAGAAGAGGGAGGCGGCGGAGCCAGAGATCCAGCAGAGAGACGTGAAGGAACTCACTGCACTGTAAGACGGTTTATGTGTTGCTCTACACAAACCTGTAGTTGATTAGATCTGGCAGTTCATTTAGTTCTCAACAACTCAAATCAAATGTTATTCGTCACATGCTTTGTAAACAACAGGTGTAGACTAACAGTGAAATGCTTACTTACGGGCCCTTCCCAACAATGCAGAGAGAAAGAAAATAGAGAAATAATAGAAAAGTAATAAAATGTAAAAGTAATAATAAATACACAATGAGTAACAATAACTTGGCTCTACACACAGGGTACCAGTACTGAGTCAATGTGCAGGGGTACGAGGTAATTAAGGTAGATATGTACATATAACTAGGAATAAAGTGACTATTTAACAGTCTTATGGCTTGGGGATAGAAGCTGTTCAGGGTCCGGTTGGTTCCAGATTTTTGTGGCTGATCGAGGCTGGTACTAAAACTATTGGTTAACTATAAAATAGTCTTCCAGACAATAGAGGTGGTTCAGTTGCTTATCTGTCATTTCAGGTCAATGATTTACCTAGATTTTCTAATAGGTGCATATAAATGAATACAATGGAAAGTGTTGTGAGGATGAGAAATTGGATGAATCAGCTTTTGGGATTGATAAAGTGAGTGTGTGTGTGTTTGTCATTGACAGGAAGTTCCTCTTCATTGCTCTCTCCCATACACAGGAAGCCTGAGAGCAAGGTGCCTGAGCTGACATTGGAGAGGGCAGTGAACCTGCTGGGCCAGGAGAATGAGGAGATGCAGATCACTGCTGCCAGCTTTATTCAAAACCAATGTTTCAACAGCGCTGACGCTAGGAAGATGGTGAGCTGGGGCCCATCTGTACTCATGTTGACTTGGCCCCTCAATTGAGGTTAAAGGCTACCGGGCAGTAGGCCTACACTACAGTTGATGTTGCCAATACAGTATTTTCCCTTCAATTTATATTGAGATTATGTGGGTGATTCACATGAAAATTCAAGTTGAGCTCACACTTCATAGGAAACAAGGGTAGATGAATAGCTGTGCCTGTCTGTCCCCAGGTGTTCTACCTCCACGGGATACCCAAGTTGATCAAACTGCTGCAGAGCGACAGCGAGGAGCTGGAGCGGATAGCGGCAGGGGCGCTCCGAAACGTTGTCTTCGAGAGCAGCGAGAACAAGATGGAGGTGAAGGATAACGAGGGCGTGGCCCCCGTACTGCGTCTGCTCAGGAGAAGTCGCGACATAGAGACCCGGCGGCAGCTCACTGGTTAGTTTGAGCACCTCCTCGGGTAGATCTGAAAGAAATCGTCGTAGCACTTTATTAATGACCAGGGCCCGTATTCACAAAGTGCCTCAGAGCAGGAGAGCTGATCTAGGATCAGTTTAGCCTTTTAAATCATAATGAATAAGAGGGGGGGACCTGATCCTAGCACTCCTACTCTGAGATGCTTTGTGAACATGTGATTTACATGAAATTATGTGATAAAATGTAATGACTGTAGTAACCTAAGAATGAAACATGTTCCACAGGGCTGTTGTGGAACCTATCCTCCCATGACCTGCTGAAGGAGCATCTCTCCAAAGAGGCCCTGGAGATCCTGACCACCTCTGTCCTGGTGCCCTGCTCAGGCCTGTCTGAGGGGGAGAACCCCAAAGACGGCATGCTGGCTGACCCAGACACCTTTTACAACGCCACTGGCTGCCTCCGGTAGGTTGTCTGGTCTGGACACAGGTGTTTATTGGCCATTTGTGATTTTGGCACCGACCTATGTAGTATCTGTGATCAAGCATTTCTAGTGATCCATCTTAGGGCAGCCTGGGATGCAGAAAGGGGTATAGTAGTTATGTTTGGAATGATCATGAAATCATTTCTTGATTGATGGTCCTCTGTAGCTTAGTTGGTAAAGCATAGTGTTTTTCAATGCCAGGATAGTGGGTTCGATTCCCGGGTCCACCCGTACGTAAAATGTATGCATGCATGACTGAAAGTCGCTTTGGATAAAAGAGTCTGCTAAATGGTATACAGTGCCTTCAGAAGGTATTCACACCCCTTGACTTTTTCCACATTTTGTTGTGTTACAAAGTGGGATTCAAATGGATTTAATTTAGAAAAAATTGTCAATGATCTACACAAAATACTCATGTCAAAGTAGAATAATTTATTAAATTTTTTTAAATTACACTATAAAACACTGATGTACCTTTATTAGATAAGTATTCAACCCCCTGGGTCAATACATGTTAGAATCACCTTTGGCAGTGATTACAGCTGTGAGTCTTTCTCTGTAAGTCTCTTAAGAGCTTTGCACACCTGGATTGTACAATATTTGCCCATTATTCATTTAAAAATGATTCAAGCTCTGTCAAATTGGTTGTTGATGATTGCTAGACAGCCATTTTCAAGACTCGCCATAGATTTTCAAGCCGATTTAAGTCAGAACTGTAACTAGGCCACTCAGGAACATTCAATATCATCTTATAAGCAACTCCAGTGTATATTTGGCCTTGTGTTTTAGGTAATTGTCCTGCTGAAAGGTGAATTTGTCTCTGGGTCTGTTGGAAAGCTGACAACCAAGTTTTCCTCTAGGATTTTGCCTATGCTTAGCTCTATTCCGTTTATTTTTATCCTAAAAAACTCCCTAGTCCTTGCCAATGACAAGCATATTGATAAGATGATGCAGCCACCACCATGCTTTAAAATATGATGAGTGGTAGTCAGTGAGTGTTTGATTTGCCCCAAACATAACACTTTGTATTCAGGACAAAGAGTTCATTTCTTTGCCACATTTTTTGCAGTATTACTTTAGTGCCTTATTGCACACAGGATACAATATTCTTATTCTGTACAGGCTTCCTTCTTTTCACTCTGTCAATTATGTTAGTATTGTGGAGTAACTACAATGTTATTGATCTTCAGTTATCCTACCATAGCCATTGAACTCTATAACTGTTTAAAGTCACCATTGGCCTCATGGTGAAATCCCTGAGCGGTTTCCTTCCTCTCTGGCAACTGAGTTAGGAACGGCGCCTGTATCGTTGTAGTGGCTGGATGTATTGATACACCATCCAAAGTGTAATTAATAACTTCACCATGCTCAAAGGGATATTCAATGTCTGCTTTTTTTTTTTTTTTTTACACATCTACCTTCTTTGCAAACCATTGGCAAAAAAAACAACCTTCCTGGTCTTTGTGGTTGAATCTGTGCTTGAAATTCACTGTTAGACTGAGGGACTTTACAGATAATTGTATGTGTGGGGTACAGAGATGACATAGTCATTTAAAAATCATGTTAAACACTATTATTGCACACAGAGTGAGTCCATTCAACTTTATAATGTGACTTAAGCAAAATTTTACTCTTGAATTTATTTAGGCTTGCCATAACAAAAGGGTTGAATACTTATTGACTCAAGACATTTCAGCTTTTCATTTTTAGTTAATTTGTAAACATTTCTAAAAACATAATTCCACTTTAACATTATGGGGTATTGTGTGTAGATCAGTGACACAATCTCAATTTAATCCATTTAAAATGTAGTCTGTAACCAACAAAATGTGAAAAAATTCAAGGGGTGTGAATACTTTCTGAAGGCACTGATGATGATTATTATTATTATTATACGGTGATCCAGACGGTTCATGTGCAATCCATCTCTCACCACAGTGTTACATCTCACAAGGCTTTGTCAAGCATTTTATATTTATCTCTGACAGCCTCCTCGCCATGAGTGAGAACTGTGAGGTTCCTCAAAGGCCATTGTCATCCTGTTACTCCTTTCCACCTGACAAAACAGGCATGATGACTTCTGCCTAGTCAGCATCACCTCGATGGAGCAGTAATGCGCTGGAAACAATATCCTGCATACCTTGCGTTCCTATTGAACCGGCGGCGATTGATTTGGTTTGGCACAGATATAGCACCTGACAAACACAACATGGTATTACAAGGAGTGTTTCGCTTTTGCCTAGCATCCGATACGACTGAAAACAGTCAGGGACTAAATTATTAACGGAGCCCTCTCCCTCTTAGTGGCTCTAGTAGAATTGAAACCTCAGAATCCATATTGGCTGGTGCTATCAAGCCCTGGCAACCGTTGACTTGTGGAACTCTGAGGAATTCCACAGTCTTTTGCCTGATTTAAAATGAAAACACACGACACTCCAACTCACAGCCATAACCTTGGGGCATCACTCATGTTACTGTATTTGGCTTGACGTTAAGAAAAAGGCTGCAGAATTTTCTATATATTTGAGTGACTTTTTCAGATAAATGCCCATGGTTTTAGGAATAAAAAATGACCATGTGGTCACATGTATTGAGGCAACTGTCATGTGTTTTTTCTCTGTGCTGACTTCATCTAAAAGGAAGTGGAACAGTTGACTCATTGACAAGTGGTTGAAATTAAAGTGAAATATTAACTCATGTTACTCATTTGTTTATGTTTCCTTTGTGCTTGAAACACACGTTGCTATCTCTCAACACATAGAAGAGACGTTTTATTACATTGACCTATTCTAATGGCTTTAACTGCAGATAACCAGAAAACCTTGGTAAAGTACACCAAATATCTCTAGCTACATAAACATTTGGCTCATCTGGCCAACAGCTGGAATAGATATTTAGCCAGTTTGGCCAATGTCTGGAATGCAAAGAATGCTTTTGTTGTTGCCTAGTGGCAATAATGACAACCTGTCATTGTTGTTGTCAGAAACATAAGCTCAGCTGGTCCAGATGGGAGAAAAGCCATGCGGCAGTGTGAGAACCTTATTGACTCACTGGTATACTACATCCGGGGAACCATAGCCGACTACAAGCCTGATGACAAGGTAATGCATGTGAATGACTAAAGTAACATTTACTAAGCTTTTGTGCAAAATGTTCACTTGTTTCTTTTTGTACAAGCATTACTTAACATTTGTAGGTGGAATAAATATTGACAGGGAAATGCTTAAATAAGACTGGTTGTTTTTGCCCATATTTTATCAACTTATGTCTCTTTAGAACAACTTATTAATCTGGCCTTTAGTGTTAAATATCAAGAAAACAACATCATGAACCAGCTCTGCTCTACAATTAATTGTTTGGCAATGGACATCTGCAGAAAGTTTGATCTTAAAATCATAGGCAATCACCAATCTGGTCCCCTGAACAGAACCACTTCTCTCCTCTACAGTCCACAGAGAACTGTGTGTGCATCCTACACAACCTCTCCTACCAGATGGTGGTGGATCTTCCACAGAAGTACACCAGCGAGCTCCATGAGTCTCGACTCAACCTGGCTCCAAAGACCAAGACCCCCGGCTGTTTCGGCTCCCGCAGTGCCAAAATCATCCAGGTAGGCTCCCATGACCTCTATGTTGTGGCTGTTATCTTCTTTGTTGCCCTTATCATGTACTTGAAAGCCACTGTTTCTATCTGGTTATAAATAAGTTACTACCACTAAAGGAAATGAGCAATGCCTGTGTTATGGATAAGCCGCCTTGGTAAGTGAGAAAGCATACATTTTGAACTAACTCTTTTTAAGCCCAGTTTTCTTTGACAAATGTATTTGTTAAAAGCTTTATACACGTTGATTGAAATGTACTATGCAACCTGGAATCTGGAAGTTAACTTTGAATTAAAGGGCCTGTTTTCTGGTTGTTTTTGTCCTATAGCGTCTTGATCCAAAGTGCCCTCTGCTGGAGGAGAAGGGTAGTCCCTGTGGGATAGAGTGGCTGTGGAGCGCCATCACGGTGCGCATGTACCTGTCAATCATGGCCCGCAGCATCCGTCCCTACACCCAGGAGGCTGCCATCGGAGCCCTGCAGAACATCACAGCTGGGAACGGCCTGGTACGGCTATATCACAAATCTATGATCCTATTTCTATGGGCTATGTACTGTTCTGGGAGTGTAGAATTTAATTTCCCATGGGTTTGATTTGTATCAGTCTAACCCTCGTACTGCTCCTTTGAGGGAATAACTACAATACAGCCACACATCTATTAAATTGTCATGACTTGACTGTATAGAAAGTATTACATTGATGTGACTACTATATTGTGCATTACTATATTGACTGTCAGTTGGTGATGATGTTGGTCTCGTGTAGCTCAGTTGGTAGAGCATGGCGCTTGCAACGCCAGGGTTGTGGGTTCGATTCCCACGGGGGACCAGTATGAAAATGTATGCACTCACTAACTGTAAGTCACTCTGGATAAGAGCGTCTGCTAAATGACTAAAATGTAAATGTAAAAATGGCTCTGTATGTGCAGGTATCCAAGGCCATCGCCCACACCATAGTACAGCGGGAGAATGGTCTTCTCCAGGCCAGGAAGATGCTCCAGGAAGGAGAGAGGGATGTGCAGAAGACTGCTGTGTCCCTGCTAAGTAACATCTCACGCTACAGAGAGCTTCACGCTGACATTGGTGAGCTGTGAATTGACTCATCAACCGCAATGTTTTAGTCCTACATAAGTCCCAAAAAAGTATATTCCTTTGGGACTTGTAAGTATATAAAAGCACAGAAGCATAAAAACCTGCCGCTGTAGAAAATCAAACAATCTCTCACAAAGCATTCCACTCTCTCTGTAGTCAAACAGGTGTTGCCACAGCTGGTGGTCATGTTGCCCAACTCAGACACGGGCACAGACCTGCCTCCAGAGGTGACCGTGTCCCTGTGCCACATCCTCATCAACCTGAGCCAGGACGAGACGCAGCACGTCAGGGCCATCGTCAACCACGGTTCGCTGCCCAAGATCATCAACATCAGCGCAAAGGACAACGGGTCAGTGGGTAGCTTCTGAAGACCATGGCTGTGTTCCAGGCTGACTACATTGCCTGGATAGATGTTTAACATATCAACTAACCACATATGATATACTGTACGTAGCAATCTGATGCCAGACTGCGCCGTCGATGACGTGGCACTGTTGGTTGATGCTATGCAAAGACTGCAGATGGCCTTAATATGCACTGTATTATTCCTGAACATTATGAGTTTCTTTTCATCTGTCAAACCTCTTCTACTTGCTTTATGCTTTTCCTTTTATGTCCAATGACTGTAAGCTTGTGTCCCTTTAGGTTTGGTCCCACCAGGGCTGGCCAGGCAGCCTGCATCCTACTACACAGCATGTGGAGCCACTCAGAGCTCCACGGGGCCTATAGGAAGGTGAGGCCCCTACACAGTATAACCTCAAGGATAAGAAACATGTGGTGACAATAGTTGTTCATTCATCTAATGTGTTGCTTTTCCTCTCATCCTTTGGTAGGCTGGATATAGGAAAGCAGACTTCGTCAACAGCAGGACATCAAAGGCTGTAAATTCAATACGGGACTAAGCGGAGGATCACAACGCATTGTGCTGATTGAGGCAATAGTGTAGTTTATCTTCTGTATGGATTTAGATGACTCAATTCACTGCTTTATAAAATACATGATTTGTGTGTCTACCTCTCCACAGTGTGAGATGTTACGTTTATTTTGTGTGTGTGTGTGAGCCTGTTCCAGTGACACCAATTGCTGCAAGCTCTTGGTAGCAGACCAAGTTCTCAACGATGGAAAAAAATTATTAAAAACAAAACTGATGGAGGATCAGCAAAGACTTGAATTACATTTGAAGGAAGGATTTTGAGGAAGAAAATGAATCAGCATAGAAGTGGAAGACAAGATAAGGATACAATTATGACATGTATGTTAGTTTAATGAATGTCATAACTTAAGTTGTAAAATATAGTTGTGATGTTAACATAGTTGGGGTTGTAAACAATATTAAATTACTACCTGTAGGTCTATTAAAAATGTCTACAATCATAGATTTTTTTTTTTTTGGGGGGGGGGGGGTCAATCAAAAACAGGGCCAAGAACGTTTCCGGATAGAAATGCTATGAATATTTAAGACATGTTTGCTTATTCTACATGTCAAAGGGCATGTTTGTTCTACATAGCAGATTTCTATCTGAATGTAACAATGTGGTGTGATATCTCTGTAATGCAAATAATAATTATAGAATAGAGGGTGGCAGAGTGCTAAAAATAAAAGCCACAAATATTTTATCAATCTGAAGTTGATAGATGTGCTCCAGTTTTAGAGTAAATATTTGTATATACATATTTGTTACACAATGCACTCGAGATTACTTGGGAACTGCATGGGTAGGTAGGTGTTGAATCGTTTTGTTACATTACATTACGTCATTTAGCAGACGCTCGTATCCAGAGCGACTTACAGTTAGTGAATGCATACATGTTTTTTGTGTGTTTTTTTTTCATTCTGGCCCCCCGTGGGAAACGAACCCACATCCCTGCCGGCCAAACCCTCCCCTACCTTGGACGACGCTGGACCAATTGTGCGCCGCCCATGGGTCTCCCGGTCGCGGCCGGCTGCGACAGAGCTGGACTCGAACCAGGATCTCTAGTGGCACAGCTAGCACTGCGATGCACTGCGCCACTCGCCACATTGTTTTACTACTTGGCTTAAAATAAAATACATTAAGGTTGAATGGTTATTTTGCTGTGGTAGTCATGACAGCAAAGACGCAGCACTTTTAATATGCCCGGCCACCCTTTAGTCCCACCTTTGAACTGCATCTCTTTGGCGCGCTGGAACGTTGATCGGCTGCGCTTGTACGTCATCCCAGGCAAACCTCAGATCCATTTAGGCCTATAGATGGCTTCTCATTTCTATTTTTGGCTCTTAGCCAGACTACTTATGTTTTACATGATTGTCATTGAGTGGATGTAAGTGACAAATCAGTGCTTCGCGCTATCCATACATGACAACCGCGCAGACACTCACGAACTACTCTACACAAACGGGTTGCCTGCCACAATGTTACCAATGGGCAGAGTCGATTATGCTGAGCCGCGGGGCACCGGGCACGTCATGTCATCGGGCGAAAGCGGGGAGGGAGGCGCTCCCTTCTCAAATCGAACAGTAATCTGCGCCACTCGGTCATTTGTCAACGAGGCATCGTCCAGAAACATAAACATCAAATATCTATTTTCCATAAAATGTTAGAATTTTCTAACTAGTTTTAATTGGGAAGGCATGGATATAAAGCGTTTTTATTAAAAGCAATCCCTTTTCCATGGGTAGACACAGAACCCAAGTAATTACTATACGTACTTAATTAGGCCTACGTCACTTTTGTTTTGAGCGGACTTCGCGCTTGGCTTTGAACGGGCCAACTGATTCACGCCCGGGAGGCAGCCCGGTTCCAAAACGAATGCAATAAACTTTCAGCCGAAGCAAAACACGCATACACGGGCGCCCGGGCGGGATGAATCCAATCCCCTCAATGTGTCGGCATAGTGGACACAAGTCTGGGATTTCCGAGACTACCCACGACCCAACCCAACCAGGAAGTGTAAACACTTCTCATGTATCAGCAGCGCCTGTCATTGCCCTTCTCTTCGACTCCTCAGCATTCACAGCTCTCGGAACTCTGATACTATTTTGCTCAGTTGGTTGGTGTGTGATCGAGGCCATGGACTCGATCAGTTGTTCGATCTGCCTGGATCTACTGAAGGATCCAGTGACTATTCCCTGTGGACACAGCTACTGTAAAGGCTGTATCAAGGGATATTGGAGTCTTGATGACCAAAAGGGAATTCACAGCTGCCCCCAGTGCCGACAGACCTTCACACCAAGACCTGCTCTGAACAGAAACATTCTGCTGGCTGAGTTGGTAGAGAAATTGAAGACAGATTTCAAAACAGTTCCCTCTGCTCCTTGTTTCCCTGGACCAGAAGATGTGAAGTATGACCATGATGACTCCGCTATAGCAGCAGAGAGGACTGAGAAACAGGTAGGCATAAGGATCTGGAACATTATACTGACATCTATAATATATTATACTTAGAGATCAGCTTAATTACTGCTGACTGTTTTGCCAGAAACTGAAAGAGCAGGAAATTCCAGCCAACTCCAAAATGTAGCTGTTTCAGTGACACACTCTGGTTTCAGTGTCACATAATCCACAATTAGGTTCTTATTTGTAAATTATATTTTCTGCTTTCAAATTGACTGATGATAGATTCAAAAACCAACTCTGTTAGACAAAATAGGCTGTCACAACAAAATCACTTTAAAACAAACAAAGGAATTGATTCAATATTTTTTAAAGGATGGAGTAGATTACAGTCAACTGCAGGAGGGGCCAGATAACATCCAGACAGTAACCTCAAAAGTCAAAGGTCACACATTTACATATACTGCAGAGGCATGAACTCTGAACTATCGTATCCTTTTTGTCTTGAAGGCACTCATTAATCAGTTAATTTAGTCTAAGTGATTTGTTGAGCATAATCATACAATTTTGTTGCCATATGACAAGTGTAGTTCAATAACTATTTCCCCACTAAAAAACAAAGCTTGGTCTATTATGAAAACTGTTGTCATTTTGGTAATCATTTGAAAATGTTATTCTCTACAGGGGCAGTTGAGGGGGAAACGGCAGCAAGTCGGGCTGAGAATCTGTGTGAGAGAGAAGGAGATGCAGGACGTAAGACAGGCGGTGATGTCCCATTCAGTGAGTATTTAAGAACCGTATGTACATTTATTTTGAAGAAAGTTACGTATATTTCCTAAACTAAAACCAGGGAGGAGCCTAAAACCACTGGGACACACTATAGGGAACAGACAGATTGTCTGGGGTCTAGACATAGAGAATGATAGAGGCCCCTAGTGGCCAAAAGGCTGTATTAGCATGGGCAGCGCCATTGGAGGACTTCCACCATTTTAATGTAGTCAACTGGGTGGGACTTCCAACTTCATTGGCTGATCCCTCCTGGTGACCTTGTTGGAGTCATGTGAGGAAGAAAATGCACTACTTCAAAATGGAGATCGCCTCCATAGCACTGCCCATGCTGTCACAGACGCTTTAGTGACACAGATGCAAAGAGGAGTCCTCTATCTATCTCTATGGGTCTAGGTGAGAGCAGAGTGAATGTGCTGGTTAAAATGGCCCCCCTTCCTTATCTATTATTCTCTCGTAAAAGCTTTCTGCTCAGGCAGCAGTGGAGCACTGTGAGCTGGTCTTTGATGAGCTGATCCACTCCATTGAGAGAAGGCGCTGTGAGGTGAAGGAGCTGATCAGCGTCCAACAGAGGGTGTCAGTAAGCCAGGCTGAAGGACTCCTGGAGCGACTGGAGCAGGAGATGGCTGAGCTGAAGAGGAGAGATAAGGAGCTGGAGCAGCTCGCACACACTGAGGATAACATTCATTTCCTCAAGGTGACATTACTCTTTCAATCCACAGTGGCAGGGTGGTGTTCAGAGCTAGGCACGAAACTACCTGAGCTTGTTCAATAAGAAAGTTTATTTTTGTTTCATAATATGTTCCCCGTTTGTGCCTATCGAACATGACCCAGGGTTCCTTACTTCTTCAAAACGTATAACCTCTGAGCTCCAGAATTCGTCATATTTTCTTATCGTCTATTCTTTCTCTCACTCTCTCTCGCTCTCTCTCACTCTCTCTCTCGCTCTCTCTTTCGCTCTAGACTTTCCAGTCTCTTTGTGTGGCTCCTGGATCTGAGCTCTTACCCTCTATCACTGCCAACCAACACTTCTCCTTTGAGGAAGTGAAGAGTTCCATCACTGGAATGATGGAGCGACTGGAGGATGTATTGAAGGAGGAAATGGCTGAGATACCTGGAAAAGGTAAATGTTACAGATATAGTGAAGATAAAATATTTGGTTAACTTTCTGTTAAATGCTTCTTGATTATAAATTAATAAATCCATTTGTCTGCTTACCCTGTATAGTAATGGCTGTCTATGTCGTCAGCCCAAGACCAGAATGTGAGTAATACACACACGTTATGAGTGAATATTTCATCTTGGTTTAATTTTGTAGATATTTGTCTTGAATGCTTCTTAATTAAACATGAATTAATCAATGTATCTCCCTACTCTATATAGTAACTGCTGCCGCTGAAGTGCATTTTCATAATGTGCCCAAGACCAGAGAGGAGTTCCTGGAGAGTAAGGAATACCGTCACACACACACACACACACACACACACACACACACACACACACACACACACACACACACACACACACACACAAACACACACACAAACACACACACACACACACCTATATCACGAATGCACATTTCACCTTCATTTAATTTTTTCACTTTCTTAGACTACTGCCATCTCACGTTGGATCCCAACTCGGCATATCAACACCTGTGTCTGTCTGAGTTCAACAGAGAAGTGTCATGGAGTGACAAGGCTCTGTCTTATTCTGACCATCCAGACAGATTCACAGACCACTACCAGGTGTTGTGTAAAGAGGATCTGTCTGGAACCCGCTACTGTGAGGTGGAGAGGAGGGGGGAATGTGAGGTAGCCATCACATACAGAAGCATCAGAAGGAAGGGCGGATTGGAATGTTGCTTTGGATCCAATGATCAGTCCTGGAGTTTGGTGTGTCGTAATTCCAGTTGTTCCTACTGGCACAATAAGAATAGGACCGATATCCCTGTCCCCTGCTCCACAAGAGTAGGAGTGTATCTGGACAGCAGGGCAGGGAATCTGGCCTTCTACAGCGTCTCGGATAAAATGACCCTCCTCCACAGAGTCCAGACCACATTCACTGAGGACCTCTGTGCTGGGTTTTGGGTTGGTCCTGGTTGTGGATCATCTGTTGCTCTGTGTTGACTGAACGTCATAGAATAAAGTGTATTTCAAATCAAATTGTATTTGTCACATGCGCCGAATACAACAGGTGTAGACTTTACCGTGCTTACTTACGAGCCCTTTCCCAACAATGCATAGTTAAAAAGTGAGAAAAAATAAATGATGGAAATAGTAACACAATAAAATAACAATAACGAGGCTATATACAAGGAGTTCCGGTACCGAGTCAATGTGCAGGGGTATGAGGTAGTTGAGGTAATATGTACATGGAGTTAGGGGTAAAAGTGACTAGGTAATCAGGATAGATAATAAACAGAGTAGCTGCAGTGTATGTGAAGAGTGTGAAAGTGTGTCTGTGTGAGTGTGTGGCGTCAATATGCATATGTGTGTGTGTGTGTGTGTGTGTGTTGGAGTGTCAGTGTAGTGTGTGTGAGTGTGTGGGTGGAGTCCAGTGAGTGTGTATAGAGTCAGTGCTCAATGCACAAATGGGTCAATGCAAATAGTCTGGGTAGCCATTTGATTAACTGTTCAGCAGTCTTATGGCTTGGGGGTAGAAGCTGTTCAGGAGCCCTTTGGTCCCAGACAATCTATGACTTGGGTGGCTGGAGTCTTTTAAAATGTTTAGGGCTTTCCTCTGACACCGCCTGGTATAGAGGTCCTGGATGGCAGGGAGCTCGGCCCCAGTGAAAATAGTGAGGAAATATAAGACCGATCACTTGGGAAAGTTGGAGAAAGTTGATTTGCTTAAAATCGTGACCCGGATGACAGGAGTTGACACATAATTTAGGAGTCCCGCTGCGAAGCCACTTTCTATCTACAATGTTTGATTCCAGCTTTACTATTGGGGAGGGGTGGGGCCATTGTTTTAACGATTAAAAGACAAGGTAAAATAATACATTAAATAAATCATTTTTGTTTGGAGTATCATTTCTAACTTGATAAAATAAAGAACAACACTAAAGTTCCTGAGGGGTGGTTAGAGTTAGTATTGGGAGTTATTGTTTTGTTACGTGAGAAAAACCAGGAGATGGAATTAGGATGATTGATGTGGTGTGGAAAAGTTCTAGATCCACTTACACTGTTGTAGTGTTTCCCCTAGACCCTGTTCCATCCCCTGTGTTTTTGTCTTGGTTTGGTTCAATCAATCAATCAATCAATCAAATGTATTTATAAAGCCCTTTTTTTACATCATCAGATGTCACAAAGTGCTATACAGAAACCCAGCCTAAAACCCCAAAGAGCAAGCAATGCAGATGTAGAAGCATCTGGAAAATAAAATACATCTCAACTTGCTACCTGCCTATTAAAAAATATATAGATATTTAATTTTATCCAATTGAATAAAGTTAACATTTGTGACCATTTTACCATGTTCAATGTATTTTATTTTTAAACAGGCAACCAATAGATGCCAAAGCAGACAGTACAGAGGATCTTCTGTAAAATAGATCTAATGAAACTGTAGGAGGACAGATGAAGATTAGAGTGGGGCTCTGTTTCTGCTGCTTGCCCAAGGTGGTTTGAGTCTCATGTCCATAGTCCCTGGACAGTCATGTGCCTATGCAGCAGTAGCTACCTCTTGACTTTCATGCATCTAAGCAGTGATAACACTGTTGTGGCTGTGTAGAGTAGCTGCAGTGCGGTACTGCTGGAGGGGGGAGGCGCAGGGGGGCTGAGGGCCAAGGAACATCATGCCTCCTACACAGGGCTGACACACAACTCACAAAGCAACCATATGTTTACTGTACTCTGGGTAATGGTCATCCGACTTGGTACGAACTGGTTGAATCAACGTTGTTTCCACGTCATTTCAATGAAATAAACATTGAATTGATGTCTGTGTCCAGTGGGATGTTACTAACACTGACTTTGAATAGTCCCCTACTAAATCATCTAAAGTTTCTCTATTCACAAAATGACCAGTTACATTGTTCAGTGTCAGCAGCAAGAAGAACATAGCATGTGTAATATCTACATACCACTGCTGATCGAACAGGCCCTCCCCCCACTCCAGTCCTCTGGGAACGTAGGGTGGCATGTCTTCTGGCCTGGACACCGGCTGCATGTGATGGTACACACACTTTGACTTTGAGAACCATACTATGATACACTTAACTCTCAAGTTCAGTGTGTCACGCATTCTAAATTAAATTAAGGAATCAGGGAAAGAAAAGTGATTCAATTCAATGACGGAATAAGAGTTCTGACTTTAACTATGGAGGTCTGTACCGGTGTGTGGCCTTGCAGGGTTGCTCTGGGGCTGGGCCCGGAAGTCTAGCAGAGCACAGGGGGAGCAGAAAGGATGGGTTATGGATGAAGGGTTCTGGGTCCATGGACTGTGGCATACCCTAAAGACATGCTTCTTCCTGTAGGAAAATCAAACCACTAGCATTAAAGAAATAGTATCACTTTATGTGATGCTTCAATCAATTATTGTTCTAATGGTACCTCAACAGAGCATGACTTGAATGTTGCATTTGAATACAAAGATGACCTTTTAATCAGAAGAAAGGGTGTGTTGTCAGGGCAGTTGATCTTTGTAGCAGGGATGCTTGCCTCTTCACAGGACAAAGTGTCCTCTCTGCAGCTCTCCACTTTCTCATCAGGCTCAGCCCAGGCCTGGTGTGGCTTTATCCCAGTACAGCGTGCAGGTGTGTACCATGCTATGGCCTAGCCACCCACCAGAGTATGCAGATCATCACATGTTATGTATACAGCACATTCAATGCAAACATACAAGTAATAGCATATAGAGAGACTTGTAGGAAATGTCTTTTTTAGATGAATGATGCGATAAAGGGGCAAATAATGCAGTCCTGGATCAATGATATACTATCAGTCTATCAAACCAAAGGAGCAGAACACTCAATCATCCTTCACCCCTCACAGTGTTCTCACTTGGCCATTGTCTTTGCATAGGATTGTGGTGCACTCTGGTCCCAACATGATGTGCTCCAGCCCTGCCCAAAGGAATTCCCCTGGGCTCTGTGTCTTCCTTCCAGACGCTTCAGACCAAACCTTACAGTACAGTACAAATCACGGTCAAAACTGAGTCGACTTCACAAAACCTCTGTCATAGCATAAACCACCTCCTAGAATGATTGATTAAGTTGTTAAATGACGCTTTTTTTGTTCCCCTTGGTGAACATCTATAACAATATTCACCAAAGGGTTAATGTCTGTGTTGTCATCGTAGGCCTACTGTAACAGAGCTAGCTGGCTGGAGGAGTGTTCTGGGAGGGAAGCGGAACTCTGCGATGGGACGTCCCGCTACGTTTTGCTGGAGACGGAACCCCCCGATGTCCTGCTGTCTCTGGGAGGAGTTCCCCAGCCTCACTAACAGACCCTGCAGCTGGACATCTGTGATCCGCACACTGCCTGAGGCACTTTGGCACAACACCGCAGACATACAGTTGAAGTCGGAAGTTTACATACACTTAGGTTGGAGTCATTAAAACTCGTTTTTCAACCACCCCACAAATTTTAATTTTATTTTTAACAAACTATAGTTTTGGCAAGTCGGTTAGGACATCTACTTTGTGCATGACACAAGTAATTTTTCCAACAATTGTTTACAGACAGATTATTTCACTTATAATACACTGTATCACAATTCCAGTGGGTCAGAAGTTTACATACACTAAGTTGACTGTGCCTTTAAACAGCTTGGAACATTTCAGAAAATGATGTCATGGCTTTAGAAGCTTCTGATAGGCTAATTGACATCATTTGAGTCAATTGGAGGTGTACCTGTGGATGTATTTCAAGGCCTACCTTCAAACCCAGTGTCTCTTTGTTTGACATCATGGGAAAATCAAAAGAAATCAGCCAAGACCTCAGAAAAATAATTGTAGACCTCCACAAGTCTGTTTCATCCTTGGGAGCAATTTCCAAACGCCTTAAGGTACCACGTTCATCTGTACAAACAATAGTACGGAAGTATAAATACCATTGGACCACGCTGCCGTCATACCGCTCAGGAAGGAGACGCGTTCTGTCTCCTAGAGATGAACATACTTTGGTGCGAAAAGTGGAAATCAATCCCAGAACAACAGCAAAGGACCTTGTGAAGATGCTGGAGGAAACAGGTACAAAATTATCTATATCCACAGTAAAACTAGTCCTATATCGACATAGCCTGAAAGGCCGCTCAGCAAGGAAGAAGCCACTGCTCCAAAACCGCCATAAAAAAGCCAGACTACGGTTTGCAACTGCACATGGGGACAAAGATCGTACTTTTTGGAGAAATGTCTTCTGGTCAGATGAAACAAAATTAGAACTGTTTGGCCATAATGACCATCGTTATGTTTGGAGGAAAAAATGGGGGCTTGCAAGCCGAAGAACACCATCCCAACCGTGAAGCACGGGGGTGGCAGCATCATGCTGTGGGGGTACTTTGCTGCAGGAGGGACTGGTGCACTTCACAAAATAGATGGCATCATGAGGAAGGAAAATTATGTGGATACATTGAAGCAACATCTCAAGACATCAGTCAGGAAGTTGAAGCTTGGTCGCAAATGGGTCTTCCAAATGGACAATGACCCCAAGCATACTTCCAAAGTTGTGGCAAAATGGCTTAAGGACAACAAAGTCAAGGTATTGGAGTGGCCATCACAAAGCCCTGACCTCAATCCTAAAACATGTGTGGGCAGAACTGAAAAAGCGTGTGCGAGCAAGGAGGCCTACAAACCTGACTCAGTTACACCAGCTCTGTCATGAGGAAAGGGCCAAAATTCACCCAACTTATTGTGGGAAGCTTGTGGAAGGCTACCCAAAACGTTTGACCCAAGTTAAACAATTTAATGGCAATGCTACCAAATACTAATTGAGTGTATGTAAACTTCTGACCCACTGGGAATGTGATGAAAGAAATAAAAGCTGAAATAAATCATTCTCTCTACTATTATTCTGACATTTCACATTCTTAAAATAAAGTGGTGATCCTAACTGACCTAAGACAATTTTTACTAGGATTAAATGTCAGGAATTGTGAAAAACTGAGTTTAAATGTATTTGGCTAAGGTGTATGTAAACTTCAACTGTACCATCATCTCTCCATCATCATCATCATCATCATCATCATCATCATCATCATCATCATCATCATCTCCATCATCATCATCTCCATCATCACCTCCATCATCAACTCCATCATCATCTCCATCATCATCTCCATCATCATCACCATCATCATCTCATCATCATCTCCATCATCACCATCACCATCTCCATCATCACCTCCATCATCACCATCATCAACTCCATCATCATCTCCATCATTACCATCATCACCATCATCATCTCCATCATCATCACAGTAAGCCAGCACCACAGTCACCTTGGCATGACTTGACACTTTCCTACTGATTGTGTTCAAGGGTCATACCTGGAGTATTCATGCCTGTGTTGCCTGGCTGTGGACGGCCTCCTCTTCCTTTCCTGTGTCCCGCAGGGAATGCTCTCCTCAACCAGGTCCTTAGTCAGGGAGTGCCAGATATCTGTGGTGCGTCCGGCTCGACTGGCCTCAGCCAACACAGGATGCCTGGCATGAGCAGCCATTTTGTCCCTACCTGCAAAGGCATTTGAAGTTGATTGGAAAAGACTTGACAGGTAAAAATAATATGGTGGAAACTCATTATTAGGCTGGCTTTCACCTGATGAAGAAGAGGAGAGTTAGCATTTTTTGTTTTATTTTTGTGGACAATCACTTTTTTTCCAGAATTGAACATCCCAACATCTGCATGGGCTGTCCATCTAACAGAGTCCAGATTGGACACACCCCGAATGAAGATTACTGGTGAGCAGCTGCCTCGACTAGGTCTACAGACACCACCCCAGCATGTGCTAATTTTCACATCTTTCACACACACTCGGTTTAGGTATTGAAAGCAGCAGAACAATGCATAAAAACTAAACCATTCGTTTGTTATAATATGACAGTACTTGACTTGTTGCCTGAACGTTTTAGCCTGTGCTCTCTATATTTATATTCAAATGCAGAATTACATACTGCTATCCGCTCCCTGATGCGGTTTTCTGGAGTAGATGTCTGCAGCTGTAGCAGGTCTCTTCGCATTGCCCTGTCTTTGGGGATGGTCAAGGTGGAAAACTTTAAACTTTACACACACATACAAATGCACATCCATTTACAGTGGGGAGAACAAGTATTTGATACACTGCCGATTTTGCAGGTTTTCCTACTTACAAAGCATGTAGAAGTCTGTAATTTTTATCATAGGTACACTTCAACTGTGAGAGACGGAATCTAAAACAAAAATCCAGAAAATCACATTGTATGATTTTTAAGTAATTAATTTGCATTTTATTGCATGACATAAGTATTTGATACATCAGAAAAGCAGAACTTAATATTTGGTACAGAAACCTTTGTTTGCAATTGCAGAGATCATATGTTTCCTGTAGGTCTTGACCAGGTTTGCACACACTGCAGCAGGGATTTTGGCCCACTCCTCCATACAGACCTTCTCCAGATCCTTCAGGTTTCGGGGCTGTCGCTGGGAAATATGGAGTTTCAGCTCCCTCCAAAGATTTTCTATTGGGTTCAGGTCTGGAGACTGGCTAGGCCACTCCAGGACCTTGAGATGCTTCTTACGGAGCCACTCCTTAGTTGCCCTGGCTGTGTGTTTCGGGTCGTTGTCATGCTGGAAGACCCAGCCACGACCCATCTTCAAAGCTCTTACTGAGGGAAGGAGGTTGTTGGCCAAGATCTCGCGATACATGGCCCCATCCATCCTCCCCTCAATACGGTGCAGTTGTCCTGTCCCCTTTGCAGAAAAGCATCCCCAAAGAATGATGTTTCCACCTCCATGCTTCACAGTTGGGATGGTGTTCTTGGGGTTGTACTCATCCTTCTTCTTCCTCCAAACACGGCGAGTGGAGTTTAGACCAAAAAGCTCTATTTTTGTATCATCAGACGACATGACCTTCTCCCATTCCTCCTCTGGATCATCCAGATGGTCATTGGCAAACTTCAGACGGGCCTGGACATGCGCTGGCTTGAGCAGGGGGACCTTGCGTGCGCTGCAGGATTTTAATCCATGACGGCGTAGTGTGTTACTAATGGTTTTCTTTGAGACTGTGGTCCCAGCTCTCATCAGGTCATTGACCAGGTCCTGCCGTGTAGTTCTGGGCTGATCCCTCACCTTCCTCATGATCATTGATGCCCCACGAGGTGAGATCTTGCATGGAGCCCCAGACCGAGGATGATTGACCGTCATCTTGAACTTCTTCAATTTTCTAATACTTGCGCCAATAATTGTTGCCTTCTCACCAAGCTGCTTGCCTATTGTCCTGTAGCCCATCCCAGCCTTGTGCAGGTCTACAATTGTATCCCTGATGTCTTTACACAGCTCTCTGGTCTTGGCCATTGTGGAGAGGTTGGAGTCTGTTTGATTGAGTGTGTGGACAGGTGTGTTTTATACAGGTAACGAGTTCAAACAGGTGCAGTTAATACAGGTAATGAGTGGAGAACAGGAGGGCTTCTTAAAGAAAAACTAACAGGTCTGTGAGAGTCGGAATTCTTACTGGTTGGTTGGTGATCAAATACTTATGTCATGCAATAAAATGCAAATTAATTACTTAAAAATCATACAATGTGATTTTCAATGTGATTTTCAGACCTCTACATGCTTTGTGAGTAGGAAAACCTGCAAAATCGGCAGTGTATCAAATACTTGTTCTCCCCACTGTATATATGTTATGTAGCCAGTCTTTCCTACCTGGGGACCAATGCCGAAGTACCATGGGTATCCCAGGACACCTTCCACATTGCCTGTGTGGAAGAGATTATATTCCATCTATATACTGAAATAGGTCTGATACAGTATTTAAAAAATATCCTTGATAAGACAAACACTTCTCTCATGCTGTACGTCAACTTGATTTAATGTGTATCAGTAAGGCCTAATTCAGAAAGGAAACACCACATGTACGTTTAGCCATTTATTAGAAAAGATTACAATGCATAGTCTTGGCATTAGGCTCTGCTCCTTCAGGGTAGCTCACTGCCAGAGAAAAGCGTCATATAAAGATGATCAAATAACTACAGGCAGTGAGCACAATATGCTGTACCAAATCCCCTGAATGAAGAAACACAGAACCCAGACAGGTGGAGGCTGGGGTGGTGGTGGGATATCAGAAAACAGCCAGCATAGCGAGTAACAGCTAGTTAGAGCAGCAGCAGCCATGGCAGCAAGAGACACCAGTGCATGCATGCAAGTGTCATCCAGCATCGAGGTAGCATGTCAATTTAAATGGACCGCATGTACAGTGCATTCGGAAAGTATTCAGACCCCTCGACTTTTTCCACATTTTGTTACGTTACAGCCTTATTCTAAAATTGATTAAATAGTTTTCCCCCCTCATCAATCTACACACAATACCCCATAATGACAAAGAAAAAACAGTAAAAAATAAAATAAAATTGCAAATGTATAGAAAAAAATAAAACGGAAGTATGACATTTACATAAGTATTCAGACCCTATACTCAGTACTTTGTTAATGCACCTTTGGCAGTGATTACAACTTCAAGTCTTCTTGGGTATGACACCACAAGCTTGGCACACCTGTATTTGGGGAGCTCTGTCAGGTTGGATGGGGAGCATCACTGCACAGCTATTTTCAGGTCTCTCCAGAGATGTTCGATCAGGTTCAAGTCCGGGCTCTGCTGGGCCCCTCAAGGACATTCAGAGACTTGTCCCGAAGCCACTCCTGCGTTGTCTTAGCTGTGTGCTTAGGGTCGTTGTCCTGTTGGAAGGTGAACCTTCACCCCCGGTCTGAGGTCCTGAGCACGCTGGAGCAGGTTTTCATCAAGGATCTCTCTGTACTTTGCTCCGTTCAGCTTTCCCTTGATCCTGACTAGTCTCCCAGTCCCTGCCGCTGAAAAACATCCCCACAGCATGATGCTGCCATCACCATGCTTCACCGTAGGGATGGTGCCAGGTTTCCTCCAGACGTGACGCTTGGCATTCAGGCCAAAGAGTTCAATCTTGGTTTCATCAGACCAGAGAATCTTGTTTCTCATGGTCTGAGAGTCTTTAGGTGCCTTTTGGCAAACTCCAAGTGGGCTGTCATGTGCCTTTTACTGAGGAGTGACTTCCGTCTGGCCACTCTACCATAAATGCCTGATTGGTGGAGTGCTGCAGAGCTGGTTGTCCCATGTCCACAGAGGAACTCTGGAGCTCTGTCAGAGTGACCATCGGGTTCTTGGTCAGCTCCCTGACCAAGGCTCTTCTCCCCCGATTGCTCAGTTTGACCGGACGGCCAGCTCTAGGAAGAGTCTTAGTGGTTCCAAACTTGGAGGCCACTGTGTTCTTGAGGACCTTCAATGCTACAGAAATGTTTTGGTACCCTTCCCCAGATCTGTGCATCGACACAATCCTGTCTTGGAGCTCTACGGACAATTCCTTCGACCTCATGGCTTGGTTTTTGCTCTGACATGCACTGTTAACTGTGGGACCTTATATAGACAGGTGTGTGCCTTTCCAAATCATGTCCTATCATCTGAATTTACCACAGGTGAACTCAAATCAAGTTGTAGAAACATCTCAAGGATAATCAATGGAAACAGGGTGCACCTGAGCTCAATTTTGAGTCTCATAGCAAAGGGTCTGATAACTTATGTAAATAAGGTATTTTGTTTTTTGTTTTTAATACATTTGCAAATATTTCTAACAACCTGTTTTCGCTTTGTCATTATGGGGTATTGTATATAGATTGATGAGGAGAATTTTGTATTTAATACATTTTAGAATAAGGCTGTAACGTAACAAAATGTGGAAAAAGTCAAGGGATCTGAATACTTTCAGAATGCACTGTAAGTAGAGTGCAAATCCAATTGGTGCAAAATACTGATGCAATCAGCTGATACAACCACACTCTGGTTTCCCTTCTGAACTGGCTTCGCTATATTTATTTTTTATCATGTCACTTCAAAAGACCTATGCTGGAGCATCAACAAAAACAGTCATACAGCTAATACAGTATTCCTATAAAAATATTATAAAACATCCTTTTAGTTTGGAAATCTGGACATAGAAATGTAATATGCAGAACTGACACAATGATCTGACTGTCTTTTTCTACCACAAGTCAGGCATTCCTAAATCTTTCCTACAGAGGGCAATGTTGCAATAATATTCTAAACAGATAAACACTGCCACTTAACATCAGCATCTGTGCCTTGATCCATTTTACAAAGCAAAACAACATACAACTAATTTTGTTAAACATTATGGTGGGCTATATACTATATCACCACCTATCATTCTGCCAATCAAAGAATGTATTATCTTGTTTTCTTATTCCTCAGAAAGTGATACATTATTGAGGCAACAGACACCTTTTCTTGGAGCTAAATGTCTAATCCCTGTAATCATTCCACAGAGCTCTAAATGGATTAATATGTATTGAGTGATGCAATCTAATATAATTAGCCAACAATGTTACCTCACCAACTGCATGAGCACACTCAGGACCTTTTAAGTTTATGCAGCTGTCACATATAATAATAATAATATAATATGCCATTTAGCAGACGCTTTTATCCA